AAAGGGGCGGGGAATATATAGGTGGATTAGGATGAGTCAGCTGAGTGATATTCTTAACACGGCTCAAATTACGAAATACTATGAGTTACTTCAGTTTATTTCGTCGCACGCAAACGTCGAGTATACTCTCGCTCAGCTTGACTACTTAATACCACGCGGAGCATCGCTACAGCGCTTTCCTGAAGCATGGGTTGAATACATGAAGATGGGACTCTGCAGCAACCAGAGTATTGAGGTGTACTACCGTTCAGCTGATTGCCTCGCCTTGGCTTCTAGTGGAGAAAGCAGCGGAGGTGAAAGGACCAAGGAGCACCTTGTTCTTATTTGCCGACGACCGGAGATACACAGATTGAAAGAGCTCTCAGCATTGCTACAGTCGTGTTCCACCTTGCCTGACACGGAAGGTTGTATAGCTCTTCACACGGATCAAGTCATTCTGCATGAGAGACTTCTGAAAGAGTCGCAGAGGCAAGGATTGCTGTATTATTTTCCGGATAACTATGCCAAAATACGTGATCATCGGGGAGCAAAAGTGAAACGTGGAGTTTCCAGCAGCGGTGAGGCGATGAACGTTTTTCTCCGCGATGAGGAAGCCGAGTCTCTTCTTGGCGGCGAAGGCCCAACAGGTCGACTGGAGCTGCCTGTTGGTGTAACTGCCCAATTCATGCTCTATACACGACGTGGGGTGCCTGTGAGAGGGAAGAATGACTTTCCCATTCGCCTGAACACAGGTGAGCGTGTAATGGTGATCTTTGACAAGACTGCTGTTTCAGGTCAGGACACCTCTCCGTCGGAAAGACCTCCAGTCGTGAGAGTATCGTTGGGCCAACCCTCCGGCAGTAGTGGTGGAGTTCTGCCGCTTGAGGTGCGAGTAAAGGCATCGGCGGGTTCGGGAGGCAATAGGCGTAGCTTCATGGATATTCGAGCGCATACAAGAGGTAAAGTGACTCTGTCTCTCTTTGTGGATGATAGAGAAACCATTCTTCCTGTAGAGGTTCTGGATGAGATCGGGGCAATGCCTGGAGTGATGATTGGACGAGAGACGTACCCAACAGTCCCCCTGCCGGATGCCATTCGCATAAGCGACCCCGCGCTGTGGAGCAGCGCGGTCGGCGAAGAAGAAACAAATGGTGTGAGACAAGAGGGAAATGCGAGTAATATCATAGTGAATAGTGACAGTGGTGGTGGAAATGGCAGCAACAATGGTAGGCAAGCACGTCGGGCGCTTTCTTGGTGGCTGAACCCATCCCCTTCTATTCTTCAGGTGCGTGATATTACTCTGCCTGACAGCGAAACTATGACGGCCGCGTCACAAGCTATTTGGATTCCCCACCAAGCCGATGAAACTGCCATGAAAGCTGTACGAAATGCACTGCGAGACCAGCATGCAGCAGAGGCCACACGACGGAGTCGTCGGAAACGCAACCGAAATCGTGACCTGCGAAATTGCCACATGGTCCATTTTGGATTTGATGCGTCCGTGGCGTTTGGTGGCGAACCGCAGGACCGCTGAGAGGTGCGGAAAGAAAGTAATATGGTGACTTCCCTATTTCTCGCTCAATCATCCCATCTATTTCCTGCTGAGGGTCGTGGGCGGTTTGTTATTTTTTTTGTGTTGGTGCGCCCCNCCCCCCCCCTGGAGCCTTTCAGCTGCATTTTCTTCCCCCTTTTGATCCGTGCCTGCGCTCTACCTTCGGTGCTGTTGATGTACGGTGAGAAAACGGAAAAGAAAAGTGTTGCGAGTGATAAATAGAAGACAATTTTTAAACGAAGAGGAACAAAAAAGGACAACATTTGGAATGAATGCCGTGGGCCGTCACAACCAGGGGCGGGCGAATCAGAGGCTCTCGCTTGCCCCTGGGGGCATATTGTCGTCGTCGTTCCCCTCCTTGTCCTCTTCCAACAACAGCAACAACTATGACATCAGGTGGGACGGGCTCCATTGGGGCTGCGGCCATTGAACGGGCCTGTCCCGTGTGGGAGAGTGTCTCATCGTGGGACGACAGTGAATCATGCAGCTCATGCAAAAGCAGCATATACCTGAACGGGCCCAACTCCTCTGAGAATCAATTCCAGTTTCGCATGGAGCGTATTCGGCATCTTAACCGTCTTCATCAGGGCCCCTATGTGCGATGCATGGAAACACAGTCACTCACGGATCCCGCAGGTCGACCAAGGCGTTGTGAAGGTGTGAAGGGACTCACGTGCAAACAGCTGTCTGACTCAATTGTGCACGCGGAGCGTTCATCGCCAAAGCCTCTCCTGTGGTCGCGTGAAACGGAATGTGACGCTGAAGACATACTTTCCCTCAAATCTGCTGTGGCTGCTTCCGTGGTTTCACCTTCGATGCAGTGGCCGTCTAATGAAGAGACAGTACACTTGGATGCACACGCGTGGAGGATTAGGCGTCTTGAGCCTGCAGAGTGGTGCCAGTTGCTACAAACCGGTGGTGAAGAGTCCATTCTTGTGTAGCCAGTTTTTCTTTATTATTTTGATCTTTGACACACCTTCCTTATACTTTTTTGTTTGGCTTTTGACGCCGGGGCGAGCTCATGGACGCGGGGGCAAGATGTTCATTACCCATGGTGTTGTCAGTTGTGGCTTCGTGCGGCAGTACTTAATGTTGCGGGTTTCTACTACTATTTTTTTTTTTGCTTTTCGGTTCTCTCCCGCCTTCACCACCGCTGCCACACTGCTCCAAGTACGCTTATAGATTTCATCCCATAGAGGGCGGAAGGCTGCTGGTGGTTGATTCAAATTGCGGCATTGTGTGCGTCAGTGTGCCTCCCTCCCCCACGGCGGCATCGTGAGCAATGAACACGTCGCGCGCGACGTACGAGAAGGATCTCCCAGAAGACCTCCTCGAGCTCATTGATCATACGACGCGAGGGGTGCAGCGGCTGTACGAGTCGACAAAGCAGGCAGAGGGTCCCATCGGGGTGAGAGGGGGAAGACAGTCGGCGCACCGCCGCACGGACACACGGCAGACGGATCGCACAGACGAATTTGACCGCGTCACTCGGTCAGGTGCGGCATCGAACGCGGTGTCCGCCTCCTTGGCAACGATGATAACTCCAGCACCAACTAGAGGAACAGCTGCGGGGTATGAAGAGACGTTGCCATCTTATGCTAACACAAGCGGGAGCAACGGAATCCACCAGAGTGCAGAGAGCAGCGGCACAAATACAGCGCGTCGGTGGATGTGGAGTCGCGCGCAGGCGCTTCCGACGAGCAGTAATACCGATGGTCACTCCGGCACTTCCACAGCAAATACGACGATCTCAATGGGCGTCCCGCGTCGAGCAACAACAACAACACTGCCGCCGCCGCCGCCGCCACTGCATGCAGGTGCAGGTCTCCACAACTCCACGACAAGCACTGTTAATACTTCTGCTACTGGTGTGGATGACTACAACTCCTCCTCGCAGCGTGGTCAGGGGTGGAAGGATGCATTCAAATCCCTCCTCTCCGTGGCAACGGCGCCCACCACGACTGCTGCTGCCACCCCAATGTCAGGAATAATGACAACAAATCAACAAGAGCGTGTAACGCAGACCACGCACGATTCCGCGGCACCGCCCGGACCAACAGTAACTGAAAGGGAATATGAAGCCCATCGGCCTTTACCATCACAGAGCGATGCGACCTTGGAACATCTGCAGCGCCAATTGAGAAAACAAGAGGCGTCCCATCAAGAGAAACTCTCACAGTTGCGAGTAGAGCATAACTCTGAGATTGCACAGCTCCGTCGCGATGCGTTGGAGGCTCGGCAGAAAGCCGAAGATGAGATATCATCACAGATCATGGCGTCCTTTAACGTAAAGCAGAAGCTGCTCCGAGCCGAGATGGAGAGTGAACGTGCTCGTGCTGATGAGGCACATCAGATGATGGGGGAGAGTCAAAAAACTATCGAGCGGCTACGTAAAGAACTCGAAGCTGGAGTTGGTTCAAATCTGGAGCTCCAGGAACGTATGAAAGCAAAGGAAAAACAGATTACGGAGCTGCGTGAGACATTGTCAAACACTCGCAAGCAGCTTGCGACACGGGAGGAGGAGTTGGCTAAGCATTCGGGGGAATTAGGGGAGAGCAAACGTCGGGAGAAGTTGGTCACAGTGCGCGAGCAGGAGGCGTTGGATTTAGTGAAACGTCTCGAGTCGCAGCTGCGCGAGCAGCAAGAGAGGTCGCGGGAGGAGCTTCGCCGGTTGGAGGCGGAGTTCCACTCCACCACCACCAGCTACCAGCAGTTGATTGGCGAGGCAACGGAGAAACTGGCAGCACTTGAGAGGGTGGAGCGCAAGTACCGCGCACTCAAGGAGCAACACCGGCAGCAGAAGCAACAACAGGAGGCGCTGGCGTCCAAGATGGCGTCGGTGCAAGAAGAGAAGCGTCAACTGGTGGAGCGTATCGATGGCCTGCATCAGGACGTGGAGGCCCTCCGTCTGCAGCTCGCACGCAAGGAACACGAAATGCGGGAGGAACGCGCATCACACCATCAGATCGTGGAGGGGATTACAAAGCGGTTGGAGGATGAAGGGGACAACACCAGCCGAGAGAAGGAGGAACTGCAGAAGGCCGTACGCCATGCCGAGGAGTGTGTCCTCCGCCTGCAGCGCGAGGTGGAAGGTCTAACGCATCAGCTGCACGAGGAACAAGCACACAGCAAGGAGCTGCTGGTGAAGTTGGAGCAGAGCGCATTGCGGCACCAGGAGGACCTCACCAGCGCACGTCGCGCAGCATCAACATACCAACAGCAGTCGGAGGGTGTTCTCTCTAGCCTGAAGCGGCAGCTGCGTGAGAAGGACGCAAAGCTAGAGGCGCTCGCTACCACCGCGTCAGAACCCATTCAGCGGCTTCGCAGCCAGCTTGAGGACGAGCGCAGCAGGCGCGCCAACCTTGAGGAGCAGTTCAACCGCTACAAGCAGAAAGCGAAAGCTGCGGAGGAGGCGGCGCTCCGTGAGATTCGTCGAGAGCAGCACCGTGCTACCTCTGCCCCACGCTCGCAGGGCCGCACAGGCACTGTGTCTGCCTCGCTCTCCCCAACACGAGGCGAGGAGAGGAGGTTACCAACAAGTGCCTTTTCACCTTCTGCAGCCGCTGTCCCCGCACGTGAGACGGGCACAACGACACCAATGGGACAGCGTATACTAAAGATAGCACCACCACTTCCTCCGTGTTCGTATAACCGCTCCAGAGAGCGGAACTCCATGACACCACCACAATTAACTCCTGCGCGTGCTGCGTGGGACTCTGTCGGGTCCATTTCAAATATTTCCTGCAGCTCACCCCTCTACAGTAGCCGGGAGGGAGATGCTGAGGGTGCTGAGTACGCAATTGCAGCTGTGGACCCTCCCCGCAATGCGACACCCGAGGTGGCAGCGCACCTCTCACAAGTGTCACCCCCAGACAACATTGGCAACAGAATGGCACAGCATGAACAACTCCTGCAGGAGTTTCATCAGTCCGCAGCGGAAGTATTTCGCAAAATAACAGGGAACCGCGACGAGTTTCTCGCCACGTGCGCATCCGTCGTGCGTGCCGTGTCACACCACTCCAGCGATGGGGAGAGTGCAGCTGCTGAAGGTATGGAGGATGCCGCGTTGTAAGGGGCCGCGCATTAGAGCTGTCTAGTGCAATCAGGAGTTTCTTTTTTTCTACTACGTTGTTGTAGAAACGTCAGGGAGATTTTGTAGCTTTTTTTTCGTATGTTGCTACCAATACAGCCATCTTTTGTGTATATGAAGGGAGGGAAAGGTGAGGGGATGGGTGGTGGATATTGCTGGATGGAAATATTTCGTTCTTCCACGTATGCTGTGGTGGGTGTGGGCGGCGAAGCGTATATATCATAGAGAATTCTTGGCGCGTGTTACTGCATCTGCGGCGGAACCTGTCGCCACACACGCGCAACAACAACAACAACAACAACAACAACAAAGAAAGAATACCCTTTCTCTTTACTTTACACACATGAACACAACACGTTTGGATGTGCAAATTTTGTAGAGTGTGCCTTCATCTCCTGTTATTTCCTTTTTTTTTTTTCTCCTGGTGTGTGTGTGTGTGTATGTGCGGAGCATTGAGTCCTTAGGCCGCTGCTTGCCTACGTGAGTACCCTGGGAACAGCGAGGGCATCTGGCATCGCTTTTTTTTTTTCGGTTTGTAATAGAAGTCCCTACAGAAACACAAAGAAGGGGTGGAAAAAAAAAGAGAGAAGCACGATGAATAAGATGTTAGGTGGCACGAAGAAGCAAAAGCCAGGGGCACCAAAAAAGACTGCGAAGAAGGAGGTGTTTGACAAGGCTCCCGTCGCAAAGACAAAGAAGGGCCACAATGCCAGCGTGCTGAAGGGCCCTGTTGTGTCCCACACCTCAGGGGACGCTAGTCGCGACTCGGCAAATGACCGTCGGCATATTCCCTTCAAGAACAAGCATGAGGAGCGTGCGTACAAGAAGGAAAAGCGAATTCCTCGATACGCCCCTAGCCCAGCTGGGGAGGGCCCCGGTCACGGCCCCTCTGCCCAGCGACCGCGTAGTGCAAGCAGCGCTGCACAGCGTCGTGCCATCCTTAAGGTAAAGAATGACGATGATGTGTTGGAGCATTTTCGCACAAAGCTCTCGGCGAGTACATTCCGGCTCTTAAATGAACAGATTTACAATTCAACTGTGGCTTTCGCTAGTCAGCTGCTGCGCGATCCTTCCACGTACGCCGATTACCATAACGGCTACCGGCAGCAGCTACATCAGTGGCCGATGAAGCCGACGCAAGTCATCGTAGAGGCCCTCTTGGGGGATAGACGCGGTCGTTTCCTCGCCAACAAGGCGAAAAGCATGCCAGGATACATCCCCACGAGTTGGGTCATTGCTGACATGGGCTGTGGCGATGCGCAAATCGCTCAGGCGCTGCAGCCAAAAGGGTACACGGTTCATTCCTTCGACTTCTGCGCGGTGAATGAGCATGTGACGGTGGCCAATGCCGCAAATGTGCCACTAGAGAGCAACTCCGTTGACATTTGCATTTTTTCGCTTAGCCTCATGTCAACGGACTATGTTGAGTGCCTATACGAGGCCTTCCGTGTGCTGAAGCCGAAGCGGCTGCTGAAGATTGTCGAGGTGCGTTCCCGCATTCCATACCCAAGGCGCTTCTCTGACCTGGTCGAGAGCATCGGCTTTGAGCTTGACTACAGCGACACTGTGGGAGACTACTTCGTGTCGTACGATTTTCTCAAGCGGGACGGCCAGGTTAAGGCGAACCGCCAGCTAAGGTGCGACCCGCAGGAGGTACTGGTGGCGTCGCTTTACAAGAAGCGGTGAGGAGCAACGCTACTCGGAGTGAGCGAGTCAGCTGGAACGAGAGAGAGAGAGCGTGTGTGTGTGAGTGTGTGGGTGTGTTTGCTTCTTCTCTCTCGCTCTCTTCTCACACCATCAGGTTTTTTTTTGTCTTGCATACCAAGACGTCAATTTGCCGATTAAAGCGTTTACAGGGGCAACGGTAGTAAACCTAACGCCATGAAGGGGAGGAAAGCAAAAAGAAAAAAAAAAAGAGGACAAAGAAGACAAAACAGGAGGTACTTTTCAAAGGGGAGTTCAGTCTTTTTTGTTGTCCTTTTTCTTTTGTCGTGGGCAGACGTTCGAGCAGATGTATATGGGCATATGTGCCAGTGTGCTTGCTGTCTCCACCCTGCTAGTCGCCTGTGATATGTTTTCTCTACCGGTGTTCCTCGTTTTCTGTCCTCTATTAACAACGGCAACACAAATCAAGAAGGAAGGGAATAGTTGTGCATGGGCCGTTGGTCACGACGCTTCGCTGTTCGAGCGAGTGGCACAGCAGTGACGCTTGTTGGAGGTTGGGCGTTATACCACCGCTGGGAGTTGCGGCGCACCGCCGTCGTTTCGCTGCCTGAGGAGTTGGCAACGCCGCCGCCCCTGTCCCGCACCGCGAAGCTGCATCAGCTTGAGTCTGGTAGGAGTGGCGTGAGTCAGCCGTTCGATGTGCTTATTATTGGCGGGGGCGCGGTGGGTTTGTACACAGCCGTGGACGCCGCACAACGCGGACTTCGTGTCGCTGTGGTGGATGCGGATGACTTTGGTGCAGGTTACACAGGCACCTCTCCTCCACTCGTGCCAGGGGCCTTCCCGTACGTTCAGCGAATGCTGCGACAGCGGGATGCGATGTGGCTGCGTCGTGCAGTCGAGGCGTGGCGTGCACTTAAGGTGTGGTCAAATGTGGCACCTGGCATCCTTGAGGATAATGTACTCACGTTGGTCCCTTCGTTTCATGTGTTGGAGCTGGTGGAGTTTGTCACTGCTGCTGCACTGGCGACGCTGCTGAGTCCGTTCTGCGGCCCGTGGCGACCGTTTGGGTTCGTGCGGGGCACTGTGCTGCAGGCGCAGCTCGGCAAGGCGGAGGACGATGTGAGGGGCGCCATTGTGTCACGGGACGCCATGTTAGACGGCACGGCCACGTGCGTTGCGCTCGCCCGCACCGCCGAGGCTCTAGGCGCGGTTGTGCTTAACTACGCCGCTGTGACGAATATCGCGGATGTGGCGCCAACGTCTCCCTCGCCGGGAAGTGCAAATTTTGCAGTTTCTGTCAGTGATGTGAGTGCGCCGAGTGGTGCAGGCGCAGCCAAGCCGCACGTGGTGACGGTGTACGCGCGCAGCATCGTCTGCTGCGCGGGGTCGTGGGCCGATGAGGTAAAGCAGTTGGTGCCGAACAACGCTTTGGACACAGTCCCACTCGCCTACGAGCGCCACCAAGTGAACTCGTATCTTGTGGCGCCACGCAACGCGCTGCACGTCGCTGCAGATGCTGCTCTCAGCTGGTCGACGCTAGGTGCGGCGGCGCTGTTGACATCGTCGACGTCGTACAGCTTCTCCTCCGTGATGGTTCTACCGTGGTTCGATCAGTGCGTGTTGATCGGTCCGAGCGTTGCACCACTCCCACGACTTCACAGCAGGGCGGAAGCGACAGCACCAACAGCAGTAGGGTCGTGGGTGGATGTCGACGGTGGTGGCGACGTGCACGAAGGCCAGCGGCGGCACATCTGCAATGCCCTACAGGCCTCCGGTGTGACGGTTGAAGAGGGTCGTGTCTTGTCGTGCGTCTCCACAGTGGTGCCAATTCTTCGCGCGCCGTCGGAGGTGCCGTGGGTGGCGGACGTTCTCATGGAGGGCTGCCACATCAGTGCGGGGGCACAGCAGCCGCATGTGGTGCATGTCTACGGTGGCATACTGGGTTTCGCCAGGGACACCGCCGAGAAGGTTGTAGATGAGCTCTTGCGCAGCAGCGGGACGTTTACGCAAGCGGAGGCAGAAGCGCTGCATCCATGCCGCACGCGACGCCTCGCCCTTCTTGGGGCGGAGCGAAAAGACAACGTTTGTGACAGCGTCTCCCCCAAAGTGCGCGTTCAGCAGCTCGTGCGTGAGGCGTACGCGGTGCGTGTGGTGGATGTTGTGGCGCGACGAACACATGTTGCGTACAGCAGTCCGGCTGAAGCTCTTGCGGCCCTTCCCGCCATTGCAGCGGTGATGGGTGACGAGTTGGGTTGGACTGCCGCGCGAAGCCGGGCGGAGCTGAGCTTGGCGCAGGCTTTCATCCGCAGCGTCACTGTATCGTGAAAAGGGGAGCGTGTTTGTTTTGTGGTATCGTTTTGTTTTGTTTTGTGTTCTGCGGGTTTTCCCGCACGTGTGTGTCTCTGTTGGCGTCGTTGTGGTTGCTGCGATTGTTCTCTCGTCTTTTCACATGATGTACTACACAGTTCATTATTATTATTATTATTATTCAGCTTGCTTTTTATTGTTTGTTTTCTTCTTGACTTGTGTGTCTCTCCGTTTTTGTCACCTTGTGGAGTGAGAAAGGGAAGCGGGGTGAGATAGAAGGCGGGGATTCAGCACCGCACAGCAATGCTTGCCCTATTCCATGAGCATTACAAGGTCCGCTACGTTCCTCGTGGCTTGGGCTCGTGGCTGTTCTACATCATCTGCCTCTTGATTCTGCTGGTGGCGCCCGTCTTCATTGGTCTCGGGATGGGGGGTTTCTGGCTGGACAGCGGCTACCTCGTGCGGATGCCGTATGTGCGCTTTACCAACCGCTGCGTCCTGCGCTACACCACTGTGCTGGGGCAGGAGAAGTTGTGGACGTGCTCGGCAGCATTCAACGAGGAGTTTATCCACCCACAGGAGGAGTTGACCGTCATGCCGTTCTTCTCCATCTACGAGAATGATCTCGACACCGACGATCACGTGGATTCGGTGACAATAGTTCTCAGCATTCCCATCAACGACTTGGGCGGCAACATCACTGGCATGCCAGAACCCGAGGAGACGGACGCGATCGATCAAGTGGAGTTTTTGCCCGAATTCACCTACGAGATCAATGATTACATCCTAAAAGTGAATATGACAGCTGCACCGCTGCTTACCTTTAAGCGTGCGGGACAGGGACTGGCATCGCTGCGAGGGCCGCTCTCTGCACTCACGGAAGGTGACCTGGTGTTCCACACCACCGAGCCGCTGATCGCTTCCCCTTATGTGGACTACACACGCGTCTACACCGACAGCCCCTTCGACAATGTGGACGATGTGGAAGACGTTCGAAATGTGCCGCATTTTGCCGCTCAGTACTCCACACGCAATCAATCCTTGCGCTTCAGGCCATACACGGAGTCTGTTGGTGGACATGCATTGTTGCGCGATGAGAATTATGACCGTGTGCTTGGTGAAGATTTGGGCGGTCTGGGCGACTTCACGTGGCGCGTTAAACTGCGTATTCTTCGTGCTGAGGTGTCGTACGTCCCGTCAATCCAAGAGGCCCTTAAATGGGCGTGGGTGCAGTACTTCTGCATTGCCGTAATTCTGCAGTGGTTGCTGTGGAACCTGCGTGGCCTCCTTGTGAAGGAAGGGATAGTGGGCTCCATTGCCATTTTCCACCGTGGCTGGCGGCAGCATTAGGCGGTGTGTCTGCGTGCGCCTGTTTGTGGGGGTTTTGTGTGTGGTCGATAGCGAAGGTGGGGGAGACGGTAGCGTTGCAGAAGAAGGCCATAGAATTGTGTGTTTGTATGAGTGCGCTTCAGTTTGTTGTGAGGGAGCGAAGTCTCTGTATGCTAGATGAGCGAGTCCAGTTTTCCCGTTTCAGTCCCTGCAGAGGTGTGCGGGTGTATCTGGGCCGAGTGTCTGGGCGAAATGGGAGACAGAGTGAGAAATCGTGTGTGTCCTTGCGGCTGTCGAGAACAAATGGCATCCTCGCATATACTCCCTATCATGCTTTCCGTTGCCCCGACATTCATCTCTCTCGTCCTCAAACAAAAAAAAAAGGACACAAGCATACAGACGCCCTTAACTGTGTGGGGGAACGGCGTGGCGGCGGTGGTTCAAAAGGGATACAATAGGGACCGGAGGAACTTCGGCAAGGACGTAAGAGAAATGGCGGCTATAGTGGTGCAGGTGGGTCAGTGCGGCAACCAGCTTGGCGAGGAGCTCTGGCGCCAGCTAACTCTCGCTACAGACGGTGGCGCAACACCCTCCCCGTTTTTCGCGGAGGACCGCAAGGCACGATGCGTCCTCGTAGACTCTGAACCCAAAGTTGTGCGCGGTGTCTGCGAGCGCCACGCAGATTTGTTCCGCGCAGAGAATGTCGTCTACGGCCAGTCTGGACGAGGCAATCACTGGGCGCTCGGCTACTACGGCGTCAGCGACCCGATGAGCCAGCGCCATGCTGAAAACGCGGCGGTGGCGCGGCCGTTTCAGGTGGCGAAGGACCAGCGGCGCCACGACAGTCATGTGGTACGCGACGCCCTCCGTGCCCTTCACGCAGAGACGCGCCGCACAAACCATGCGGTGGAGTTCGAGGCGATTATCGTGTTGCACAGCCTCGTGGGCGGGACAGGCAGCGGCATGGCGTCGCGCTTGCTGGAGAAGATACGCTACTACTTTGTTGAGCCACTCGAAGGGGAGGCGGCGGTGGACGAGTGCGCGGAGGCCGCAATGATGCGGCGCGATGGCTTGGACGGCATGCTAATGGAGAAGAGGCGCGCGTCATACCTCGTCAGCATCACGGTAGCGCCGCAGTCCACGGGCGAGCTGTCCACGCAGAGCCTCAACGCGGCCCTCACGCTGCACGCACTGCAGGAGAACGCTGATGCAGTGGTGCTGCTGCGCAACGATGACTGCTTTTGTGCGTCAACCCAAGCACCGCTCAGCGGGCGTTCTCGCGCTCGTGCTGTGGCCGATCCCCTCCTGTCGACTCTTTCGCTCATTAAGCCCTGCGCCACATTCAAGGAGGCGAACGAGGTGTTCGTGACGCTGCTGATGCCGATCCTGTTGTACGGCCGTAGCGCTAATGCGGTGGGTGATCTTGTACTAAAGTGTTCACCCAGTCATAGAAAATTGAATAATATTCTAACGATTGTGCCCACCCCGCAGCGACATTACTTGCGATTCAAAGGTTCCGTGACGCTCTCACGCTTTTACATCCTCCGCGGGGCGAAGCAGCACATGCCTGGTGTATACCCCAGCGTACCCATTGAGCAGCTGCACAGCGTTCAATCACTGCAAGCCCCAGACCTGGTATCCTCGAGTGAGGAGGTGCAAGTGCCTAAGGCATTGCTCCAGAGCTTCGCGGAGTCTGCGGCGTCGCGACGCTCTGTCTCGGCGACGCTGCTCCAGCAGATGGAGGGGGTGCTTGTGATGAATGAGGCGCGGGAGTTGAATGCTTCGGTTCTATTTCTGATGTTGCGCTCAGCTGCGGTGAAAGTGAAGGCAGGGGCCTTTATGTCAACGTTTGAAGACATGGGCATGACAGCTGAGTGTATTCAGGCTGCAATTCATGAAGTTGCCGCACGGCTGGCGGCAGCAGAAGAGTTCTGAGCGCTGGCGATTTGTTTAGAATTCATTCATCGCCTTTCATGTCTCTCTCTCTATCTCTGTGTGTGTGTGTGTGTGTGGGTATGTTGGCTGATGCGTGTACAAAAGTATATGACAGTGTGCGTGTCGTGCGCACTCGCTTCTTCCCTTGCTTCTGTTTGCTCTGAGCTTGAGGACCAGTGATGTCGGCTTGAATGCTTTGTTTGTTTCTGTCTTTCGTTCCTATTCACGCCACTCCCCATTCTCTGCTGGTGCAAGACAATCCATGGAGGCGGTCTCGACCGGAGTGGGTTTCGTGATTCTTCGCTCTGCTGTGTTTCTAGCAGCAACACGATCCGCGCAATTGCCTCTGGACATGCACTCTCTACACCAATAAGAGGCTTGAGGCGGCGACGGCCTACATTTAGTGTGCTTCTATTATCTGTTGGGTGCACGGTTAAGAGGGAAGACGAATGAGAGGCAGCAACAGGACGCGGGGACAGAAGCTGCCGGGCGAGGAGCGTGACAGTAGCATCAAGGATGCGGTGCCAACGAGCTGACGGCGCCGCGGCTCAGAAACGGACAGCAGCAGCAGCAGTAATTGGGATGCAAGGAGGATGTGTGAAGGGTGCTGGGGCCGTTTTTCAGTCACTTGACACACGTCGTGTTCCTTGGGCACAAGGATTTCTTTGCGATGTTGCGGCTGTAGTGGGGAGCTCTAAGAGACTGGATTGCCCCCCTTTCCCAACTAAATCAGCATTTTGTTTTAACCTGGATGTGTCGTTATAAATGCGGCAAGAGATTTCTTGTTGTTCCCACGGTTTTCGTTTTCCGTGCTTGGCTTATGGGCATTCTCTCTTGCCACCTTCGAATTCTATTAGAGGTGTGTGTGGGTATGTGCGGGCGGGCGGGCTGATGAGAGGTGTGCGCGCGCCGTTGTGATCCGGGGTTGCCGCGGTTCAGAGTCTGGCGCATTGCAGGACGCCTGCTCACGGAACAAAAAAGAAAAAGAATAGGCGTCAGCCTCTGTGTAGAAGTTGTCCCGATAATTACACTTCACTCTCTTTCGTTATTGCACTGACCGGGGAAGGGTCCCTGTAGATCACAAGAAGGGAAGGGTAAAGGCGTGGTCAAGGAACGATTGTTCGTTCTTAATCGACCCCCAGTTGGCTTTGCTTGTTTTTTGAGTGCGTGAGGGCGAGTGTGTGGCCCCATGCGTCGTGTGTTGCTGCGCACCCATGGGAGCCGGCGTGCCATCACCATCACCGGCCCTCTGCTGGCGCTGCGGCACCGCGGCGCGTTGCTAACGCCCGTGGACCCAATTGCTGACTCTGCTTCTTCGTCTGCTGGTGGCGGCGGTGGCAGTGCTGGCAAAAGCGGCCCCCTATCGGCGTCAACGTCATACCGCTTCGCCCTCAAGGATGTTGAGCGCGGTCTGTACGATCACGGCGTCACTCCCGACGCGCGTGCCGCCATTGCTGAGGCGGAGGCGCAGTACAAGGCTAGCGCGGACTACCTGCACGCGGTGCCTGGCGGTGTGGGGATGCCGGAGCTGCGGACCGATGACGACGGCTCAACGGTCTCATGCATTACCGCCCCGCTGGGAGAGGAGTACGTGCCGTCGCACAAGGAGCGCTACGCACTGCGCGGGCACGTTGGAGAGTTGGGCCTGCAGCGCAAAGCGGAGCCCAAGTATCTGCTGAGTGCGCAGGCCGAGTTGAACCTCCGAAAGGAGCGGCAGTTGCGTGAGTTGCTCTCGTCGCCGATGCCGCTCTTAGAGAAGGCGTCTGAGACAGAGCGGATGCTGCATGACTTCTACGCGCAGCGCATGGCGGTCTCCTCCCGCAACGTGGAGGCCATTGCCGCCATGTGGGCACACTGCAGCCTTGAACAGCGACTCTCTGGTAGTGCGATGCCGTCACAACTTGCTGGCGGGTCGTCCTCGTCGGACATCTCTCCAACGGCCGCTGCGTCAGACGCGGTGCCGTTTCTGGCTGCGATGCGGCGACTGTACTTCCACGCACGACAGACGCACGTGGCCCCAACACCCTTAGTCTTGGAGTACTTGATGACCACACTGAGTGCACTTACTGTGCCAGATAGCAGTGCCTTTCATCTCGCAAATCGTCTTTATCTCGACGCCGACAAGTATGTGGTGCTGCCGACACGCACAACCTATGCTGCGTACTTCACCATCTGCAACCTGCACAACGCCATGTCTTTTGCACTTGCGCGGTTTAACGATGCTGTGGCAAATCTCCACATCGGCGTGGATGCTGCCATGGCAACTGCACTGCTGAAGGGATTAAGCCAGAATGGATTAGTGGAGGAGGCAGTAGCGCTGCTGGCTCGCCTGCAGCATATACCGCTGGATGTGCAATTCTTCAACGCCTCGCTCGAAGTGCTGCTGCTGTCGGAGCAGCCGCAGGCGTGCTTCGCGGCATTTGACGCTCTGCGATCCTGCCCTGTCGAGCCGACAGCGGAGACGTACACACTTCTCCTCCTCGCATGTGAGCGTTCGGGATTGTGGGGGCGCGCGACTGCTATTCTAGCCGATATGCAGAGGCGGCGGGTGAAGGGAGACTCCAAAACTCTTAACTTGCTCTTGAAGGGCCTCCTCACGGAGCGACTGCACAGCTACGCGCGACAACTGTACGAAACGATGACAGCAAAGAATGTGGAGGTGTGGCCTGCTCTCGAAGCCCACATGGGCTTATCCACCAAGAAGCAGAAGCACCAGCAGCAAAAACAACAAAAACAACAGCGGAATTTGGCGCCCGCACCTGTTCGTGCGGCCAAAGGATTTTGACGCGCTTCTTATTTGCGATGGGCGTCCTGCTGGGATGATTGTGTGCATGTGTGTGTGTGTGTGTTTGTGTGCACAGCTAAAGCTCCTTTGACTTGGATAATTAAATAAATATATAAGCATATATATTACCGGTGTGATGTATATGCACTGCCTCTTGTTTCCTCCTCCTCGCTTGGTAGAGTAGGTGTAAGAAGACCAGCGTTGCCGATTTTCCGGCTGCCATGCTCCCGCACACGGTGAAGGAGGAGCACAAAGATGTCAAGCCTACCCCGGCGTCTGACCTGGACGGTGCGGCGAGCGTGGTGCAGGACACCATGGCACTCTACACGTGCGCCAACTGCACTCGCGTGGTGGCGCTCAGCCCGTCTTCGCAACTAATGTGCACCCACTGCGTGCACCGCACGGGCTCGTCTACCGTATTCTACAAACTCCGCACACAACCCACCACGTATGACACGATTTGAAGGGGGGTTATATATATATATATATATATATATATACATGTGTGTGTGTGTGTGGAGGGGCGTATTTCTTGGCGTGGTCGTTGGTGCTGATCATCATCTCTCGCACAGAGGTGCTAACATACTGAGGTCGGGGGATGCCGCGTAAAATGCATGCAGGTATTACTGTGACGTTTGATCTGGTTAGGGGCTGCGGCATTTATTTTGTGTTTTATTTTAGATTTTTGCTCTCGCTCTCCCTCTCTCTTCCTTTTGTTTCTTTAATTTATTGTGGTCTCCCACTTATTTCCACTTGAAGGCGATAGCGCGATGATCAACCGACCGCCGCCGCCGACGGCCGAGAGTGGCCGAGCGGTGCCCCCACCGCAGTGTGTCTGTGCAAGTTGTTTCTCTGTGGTGCCGCTCCCGCGGCCCGACGCGACCGGCACACCGTTTCAGTGTCCGCAGTGCCGTATGGGGGGATCGGACATGAAGGTGCTCTACACGAGACGCGCCTTCCCGGCCGAGCACAGCACAAACTAAGAAGGAAAAAGAGAAGGCGGGGGTGGGGGCTTGGCCAGCTTTGCTGGCAATACGTAGCCAACCTGGTTGTCGCTGTTAACACCTATTGAACTTTTAATAACGGTAAGAGGTTGAGGAGGGGGTGGGTGGGCTGATGGTGTGCCAACAGACACATCCGTGTCGTCTCTGGTTTTCAATTGTCTTGAATTGAAGTACGCTGATTTATTGCATATTGAGTAAGCGAAGGCGTAAAGGTGTTTGCTGCTATACTTGTGTGTAGTCGTGATGGGCCCTATTTTGGTTGAACTCATTGAGGCCATCCACATCTCACCGGTAAAGTGCGTGATGTACATTGCAGGTGCCGGAAGTTCCGCCATCTCCCATCTCACCGGCGTGGCTGCCTGCTCGCGCACGCTTCTCGATGCCCGTGTGCCGTACTCGGCAGCTGCGACCACACACATGTTGGACGATCGTCCAGCGAAGATGGTCACCGCAGCGGTGGCGCGGCAGTTGGCGCAGCACGCCTATCATCGTGCGAAGCGCTTCAGTGGCAACAGTGACGGCGAATCGCTTGTTGGCATCGGCTCAACCTCTGCTGTGCAGACCAACCGCACCAGGCATGGGAAGGATTGCGCCTTCGTGGCAGCGTGGAGTCAGCAGCAGGTGATGGAGTACGCGGTGGAACTACCAGGTCACCTTTCGCGTACCGAACAGGAGGAACAGGTGACGCTGCTTTTGCTAAAGGCGTTGGCGGATTGTGCCAATGTCCCGTTCAAGTCTTCACTCCTCGCAGTTGAACCGTCGAGACACTGTGCTCTTCTGCCAGATTCTCCGCTGCGATGCGTAATGCAAGGGGAGACGGCGTGTGTCGTCTTTAACACCCACAGTGAGCTACGGGCGGACCTTCCACCATACGTGGCTGAGACGTACTCTGTGACAAGCGCGGGCACAGCGATGAAGCGGCTACTGTTCCCTGGATCGTTCTCTCCGCTGCATTGGGGCCACACAGAGCTAGCGCAAGCGGCGGCACGAACGGTGGCGGCTATGGCAGCAAGGCTGACTGCTGGGAGCGAAGATGCAGCACTTTTGCAGCACGACGCCTCTATCAGCGAGGTGGAGGTGACATATGAGATTGCCGTATGCAACGCAGACAAGGGGATGGTTGGTTCATTGGAAGATCTTGAAAAACGAGTGCATCAGTTCATCCAGCGTGGCGCACGCGTTGCCGTGACAACGGCCCGTCTCTTCACAGAGAAGGCCGTGCTATTCCCTGGTCACGGCTTCATTGTCGGCATCGACACGGTGAAGCGCATTCTTGATCCGAAGTATTATGGGGACTCGAGGGAGGCGATGCTGCAGGCGGTGCGGGGGATTGGGGCTCAGGGCGTCTTTTTTGTTGTGGGCGGCCGCGTCTCGGAGGAAGCCGGGGGGGTGTGGGAGGATTTGACGTCTGTTGACATCCCCGAGGAGGTGCGGTCGTTTTTCATTCCTATTCAGAAGGACGAGTTCCACGTGGATGTGAGCTCGACCGCGCTGCGAAAGCGACGAGGAGGCGCAAGTTGATTTTCGCCTTCCTCGTGATATACCGCAGAGTAGTCTCTGTGTGTGTGTATGTGGCCTTTTGTTCATGGCCCTTCTTTGGTGATGCCGTTTTGGTCTTTTTGTTGTTGTTGTTGTTGTTGCTCAGTTCGTGGTGGCCGGCATGCAGCCTCCTTCCTTGTCGTTTGTTTATTTTGCGCACTCATCTTATTTCTGCTGCTTGCTGTTGTGATTCGCCCGCAGAGTAAACGCAGCGTAGAAGGGCTGCTCACCAGCACCTCTGTGCACATCGTCTGTGTGAGGCCGCCCACTGCGGAGACCACGCACACTCACAGCGAAAGAGAAGGCGAAAAGAGGAAATAGTGAAGAGGAAGAAGAGTAGTAGTCGCGATGCTTCTACGCTCCGCCGTTCTTCTGCGGTCGTACGGCCGCAAGTCGAAGACGCCAGACCTCAAGACGAGCTTCATGAAGACCAGCAACTTCAAGAAGGCGGAGAAAATCGCCATCGAGACGGTCGACGGCGAAGTCGTGAAGGGGCGTGGTAAACTTCGTCGCCGCACGCACAGTGCACTCAAGCAGGCGATCGACGCCATGGAGCACCCCGCCATTTGGCTCTGGTACCCGTGGCGCATGAACCCCGAGCCGCCGACGCCGCACATGCCGCGACGTCGCGCGCTGAAGAACATTCACGGCGCGGTGTTCAGCGACCTGACGCCGGTGCAGAAGAAGCGGCAGGAGCAGATGCTCTACGGTGTCAACATCCCAGGGGCGCGGCAGATGAAGTTCGAGGAGGAGCACCCGCTTCTCGCGGGGGCGTTGCGGAAGCTCGACGCCCAGCCGAAGGGATTCCCGTTTTGGTACAAGAAGTATCCCACACGCCGCCATGCATACGAGTACCGCTTCAGCATACCGGAGGAAATGCTGGACGGCTACAGCGACGACATGAAGAAAGCTCTCTCAAGGAGCATGATGACGGTTCAGGAAAAACAGTTTGCGCAGGAGGCCATGTACATGGAGCGTTACGCGGAGCATGACTTTGACACAACAAGCCCAGCGGTGCTGGCGGTGAAGCGTGCGCTCAAGTGTCGCATTCTGCGGAACCACCTGCTCACGAATCCGCACAACAACATCATCAAGACGGTGCTGGCGAACACGGAGCGAAAGCTCAACCATGCGCTTCGCAGGCTGCGCAAGGTGGACTTCAAGAAGTACTGGGAGATTATCCGTGATCACGATGTACAAGACGTGCTGCAGCCGCCTAACTTGGTAACGTACAGACAAGGAGCCTACTGGAACTATGACTGGGGCGCGGGGCTGGCCATCAGCACAAACCTGGCAGATGTGCTCGACCCGCGTGGCCTCAACGGCTGCGTTGAGACGGGTCGCTCCCGCTCCGAAGTTGCACGCGACCTCGGTCTCTCCTACACAAGGCCGCTACAGGAGAATGAGAAGAAGCAGCTGTCGCAACAGGCCGTGTACTATGAACGTCTAGCAAAGTTTAAGATGGAGCAGCCGGAGGCGGCACGGGCACTGGAGCGTGAACGGTTTGTGCGAAAGTTCTCTGGTATGTTTGCGAAGCTGGATATTAAGTCTGGCGCCCCAGACTTCCCGAGCACGTATCGTAAGCTGTTGGGGACGAAGGTGGTGCGTTGGTCATCCAAGCGGCACGGTCCTGCGTGAGGAAATTGGTGCTATTATTATTGCCTGTTGTGGCTTTTGGTGGTAGTTGTGGTTGCCACAATACTGCGCGGGCGTACACATGTGCGTGTGTTTGTGGGTATGCACGGGTGAAGCGTTGTAGATGGAGGCAAGCAGTAACATATGAACGGCATGATGCGAGTGTCTCTTCACTTTTCCCAGCACTTTCTGTTGTCTACTCTTCTGCTACAGATCCCTTTTTTCCTCCTTTTCACCGTTTATTTTTCCCCCCCGTTTCACCACCACCGCTTCTACTACTAACGATGTTGATTGTGGTGCCAGTGTGTGGGGTGCGTGGGCGCACAACGGCCTGGCAATGGCGACAACTGTGCCCGAGGTGATCGTGGTGGGCCCCACGCGCTACCGCCACTTCGCCAGAGGGTCGCGGGACCTGTACGCACCTGAAGCGATGCTGCCGCAGCCGTCACTGCGCCACGTGTGGAGCTACGCTGTATCGCGCGAGCACAACAACGCGGTGTACTTCCACAACGAGGACAGTGGGCGCTCGCTGTGGGTGCTGCCACGTCTCACGCTCGACGGTAGCGAGATCGATGACGGGGAAGATGTGAAAATGGAGGCTGTCGGCTCAGTGGCTTCCGCTGCGTCGCTGCGCAGGCGCGACACGTCCAAGTCGATGAGTGACGCGCAGCCGAAAGAGAAGGGGAGTGAGGCCCGCCGCGCCATCGTGCGGCGGAGTATCGAGGATGCGGTGAAACAGGCTCTGGAGAAAAAGGAGGTGGAGACGGCAGCAACACTGACAAGAGAAGAAGTAGCGAATTCTGTGTCGCCCATGCAGAACAGCAAGAATGAGGGAGACCTACCTGTTCGCGACAGACTTGCAATGTGGCGCGCGAAGCGAGCGCATCAACAACAGTCCAGTGGAGAATATCAACTCTCATCCCCCGCCTTGACGCAGAACTCGTCCTCTTTGTATAGTGTACCTTTGGGTCATGCGGGTCAGGAGCGTCCGCCGCTGTACGGCCAGGATGCATCAACGGTAGGGCCTAGTGGCGCTGGGAGAGCGGGCTCCGGCATTTTAGACAGCCAAGAAAGGATGCGTACAGTTGCTGGACAGAACCTGGCTCCAGATGGAGCACAGGAACTAATGCGTCCGAAGCAGCAGCAGGATAGCGCCCCGCTCGAACGCGATGTGTATGACGAGAAGAGGCGTTTGTTTCTTGCCGTGAATGATGAGTTGCAGCGGGAGAAGGAGGCGGCACTGCGAAAGGAGCGCCTCGCACTAGAGCAAGCGAGCCGCCTTAAGGAAGTGCAACAGCGCGAGGAAGAAGAGCGAACGAGGTTGGCGACGGAAAGGCGAAAGCTCGAACAACGGCGGTTGGAGCTGCAAAAGCAGGCGCTTGAGCGGCAGCAGGCGCTTCTGGCGAAGACGGAAGAGGAGACGGCCTGTCGCGAGGCGGCCGCGCAGCTGAACAGCTTCCTCGAGAATAAGAAGCAGCTCGAAGAGAAGGCGGAAGCAGAGGGCCGGCGCGCTGCATCATTTGAGAAGGCGATTACGCAGTCACTAATGAGGGCAACAGAGGAGAGGCGCAGTGCGTCTGTGAAGGAGCGGCGTATTGATCTTCGCATCCTCGAGGATAGCGAAGAGGACGACGGCATGGAGGAGCGGCGAGAGGTCGCGGCGGCAAGTCATCCTCACACCCAACGATCACAGCAGCAGAATCAGAAGCAGCAGGAGCAGCAGCGTGGTCGTATTGTGTACAGCCCGTCGCTCACGTACGTTGGGGATGTGACGAGCGGGGGCCACAATCCGCCGCGGTTTCTGCAGCGACAAGGGCATGGAAAATATTTCTACGACGCCGCGCAGAAGACATTCTTCGACGGCGAGTGGGCGGACGACAAGAGGAACGGGGTGGGCGCGCTTTCACTACCTCACCTCGCTGTGGAGGGAACGTGGCGCAACGATGAACTTGACGGCTGTGCGACCTTTCAAACAAAGCGGCTGAAGGGCACAGGTGAGTTTGTAGAGGGTATGCTGAATGGCAATGCGGTGATCGAACTCGATTGCAACAGCGTGTTCGCCGGTAGGCTCAAGGAGAACGGGGCTGTCGTGGACTCCGGTGCCATGACGCTGCCGTCTGGCGACCACGTGGAGTGGATCTCCGACGGGTTGGCGGAGGGAGGCAAGCGGCGCGCGTCCCATCACCATGAGAAAAACGGCAACGTCCAGAAGCGTAACTATGGCAGCGGCTCAGGAAGGTGCCGCATTCAGTTTTCGAACGGCGACGTGTACGTTGGGGAGGTAGAGAACTACCGGCCACATGGCACTGGGTCGTACCGCTTCGCTGCTACTGGGCACGAGTATGTTGGCGAGTTCCAGTGTGGCGTCTTGCAAGGGCACGGCACTTACCGCTTTGCCAATGGCAATGTCTACATTGGGCAGCTGTACAAGGGCCTCTTTCACGGCGAGGGGAAGTACGTACAGCAAGATGTCTACACATACGAGGGGCCGTGGGACTACGGCACGGCCCACGGAAACGGGAAAATGACATTCACGAATGGCGATGTGTGGGAGGGGGAGTTTGACCACGACAGGCGTATGGCGGGACGCTACACATCGTCGCGGTTATTTCAGTTGTAACTGTTTTGCCACCCCGCTGTCGTGTCAGACAACAAAACAAAAAAAAAACATTAGAGAGGTATTTTAGTCCTCCGCCTCCTCGTGCTTCGGTATTTTTGGGTGCCGTTATGACGTGTGTGTGTGTTTGTGTTTGTTTCTCTTGCTTTGTTGCACAATCACCTTCACAACATGTGCGTTGTGGGAGCATCGTAATTCATTTCCCTCTCCACACGTATGTTTGTGTGTGTGTGTGTCTCGCTCTTTCTTCCACTCTCTGTATTTATGTGTCACGCTCTTATCACCCCTTGTTGTGTGCCCCGGCGTTGTCCTCCCGTGACCCTTCCGTTCTGCTGTTTCACTCCTCTCTTCTTTCTTTTTCTCTTCCCCTCACTCCGCGCCTGTCCGTTGTTGTTGTTGTTGTTGTTGTTGCTGGTCTTCTTGCCGCTGCCGGGGTGCAGAGAAGGGGTGCGGGATTCGGCTTCTGTGAGGCACGCCACACCACTGCACAGCCGCCCATGGGCTACACACGCGAGCGCACCAACCGCCACTTCTTCGTGGCGCGCGCCAACGCCTTCTTCTCGCGGCTCCCGGTCGCACGCATTCAACGCGCGCTCGCAATGGAGTCGGTGCGGGTGGGCCGCATGCGGCCGTGGCGCCACACGAAGGAGCAAGTCCTCGGCGCCCCTGTCACGTGCAACTTTGACTACAACCCGAGGCCGGTGCGCCTCATCGGTACCGTCATGGATGTGCACTCGGAGGAGACGAGTATTAAGGGCGGCATGAAGGTCTACGCACGCAACGAGGAGACAAACATGATGCTGTGGATCCCGGCAGGAAATCCGAAGCTGAAGTACGAAATCACATCAACGAAGGGCAGCTTCCAGCACTACCTTGACGAGCGTGACAAGTGGGATGAGGCCTGGTTGACGGGCAGGGCGAGGATGAAGTGAATTTGTGTTTCTGTGCATCTGTGTTTGTCCTTCTGGGAGAAAGACACAGTCCCCGTAGCAGTGAGACGTCAATCTGGGAAACACATACACGCACTTCTTTGTTTTGTTTCATTGTCCACATATGAAGTGGCTCCTCTTCCATACTCCCAATTGCATTTCTTTTTCGCATTTTGTTGTTGTTTTGAATTCTATTGAAGTTCGTTTTTTTTTTGTTTTTTACTTGCCTTCTCAGTGCGACTTCGTTGGTCGTAGTGGAGAGCGACGGGCGAGAGGCTGTCAAGGAAGAGATATATCATATTATATTAGTGGCAGCTGGAGCTCGCAGAAGTGCGACCTCAAACTACACACAGGAAGCCTCTGGAGGAATAGACACTGGTGGTATCGCGCACCGACGGGAACGGACCCGCACACACGCCACTGCAGCGAGACAAATAAACGGGGAAGAGGAGGAGCGATGCCAGCCACGGAGATGCAGCTGATGGAGATGGACATGGTTCAGGGCATGTACGACTCGTACGAGCTGTGCAGCACGGAACCGCCAACGTACTCTGTCTTACTCGCTGCCACCGCGGACGACGCACCGGAGCTGCGCGTGACGATTGTGTACGACACGGAGGACTACCCAGAGACCGCGCCCCCCACCGTGCGGCTCGAGCACATCGCCAAGAACCGCCGCATGCAAACGACAGCCCTCACAAAGGAGGTTGAGGAGCTCTGTGCGGAGCACATCGGCATGCATAGCGTCATCTCCGTCCTGCAGAGGGTGCAGGAGCACCTCACTGACTACGTCGCAACGGAGGAAAAGGCGGAGCTGCAGCGTCGTGGCGACGCGTTGTCGAGCGCTGCTGCCGCTGCGGCCGCTCCTGACCCCACGCTGCGTATCGGCACCGCCGTTACGCGTGAGCTGTTCGAGGGCTGGAGCAAGAAGCACATGGCGGAAAAGCTGCGGTTGCGGGAGACGTTCGAAAAGAAAGCTACCGGGAAGCTGACGGGCCGTCAGATGTGGGACGACACGATTAAGAACGCCGACTGGGAGCTCTTTGACGGCTCCGACGGCGAGCAGGATGCGGACTTCTACGCAACGGCGCACGCCGGCGATGATGATGAGGAGGAGGAGGTAGAGTACGACTTAGACGACCCTGAGGAGGCGTAGTGAGGGCGGTGGCGGTGGCGACGGGTGACAGCCGCAGCAACGCGGACGGCGATGAGAGCAATCCAAATGAGATCTTCACGGGGCTCAGGGTAGTGTGCGGCTAAGTTTCTTTTGTTGTTCGTGTTTAACGAATGGAAAACCAAAAAGAAAAAGAGAAAACATTGAGCTGCGTTTAACAACCAAAAAAAAAA